AGGCACATAGTCCGAACACGCGCCTTCATCCCGACACTCCACTTGCGATAATTATGGCTCTTCTAGACTTCTGGAACACTAGCCTCCACTGTGTTTATTTGTTACACGGTGTCTGGTGGCCCAAATGTTGAAAAATGGAGTGCACCGTGCTTTGCTAGCTGGCTGCGATACCAATTGGCGCAGACAACGGCTGTGCTGCCAAGGGCGGCGAGGTTGGGTCTTTCGTCGGTTGGGATACGAAACACCCGGACTTAAGTTGGTATTACTCGGGAAGACAGCCTATGATAGAAAGAACAGAAAAAAGGTATCTCAGGATACCCAACTGTTCGCTTCGAGAACCCAAGCAGAAAAAGGCAAGGGTTCTATCAGTGTTGCCGATGGGTTCAACCGAGCCATGGAATAACTATCGTTCGTCACGGACATCCAACGTAATCAGATATCGACGACGTATGCATGTGGTGGAAGCGATGCCGACTTCCAGCTGTGGCGTATAGTACCAGCTATTATCCGCTCTGATTGGACCAGTGCTGTCCTCCAAGCCCATCTCCTCCCATCATCATCTCGAACACCGGCCGATTTGTCTCCATCGCCTGACTATCACTTCAGGATTGGGAAGTGATGATGTTCGGGTGATGTGAGTTCGACCGATCTGTACGGCGATGCTCTTATTTGCGACGACGGCACTTGCGTCTCGCCTCAGCGTTGTCCAGCCGGACTTTGGAGTTTACCTGTCATCTATCGGCGCAGGAGTTGATATCATCTGGCCAGCCACGCGTGGACGCCAATCAAACCAGGCGGATGTAGCCCGATCAAGCAGTGTTCCGTGATGAGACGATTATGCAACACTGCGGGTGTTCCGGGCCATAAGCAGGGCAGTTCTCTATCGAATCAGGAGGTCAAACCGCTGTGATAGTCAAAGGACAGATACTTAGGTAGTTAGTCCAAAGGAAGAGGGTCAAATGTTTGGATACAGTGATAATATTACCGGCCCCTTCTGTTACGGGGTTTCAACCGGGAAAAAAAGCAAGTGTCTTTTACGACCGTCACGTTGCTGGGATTGTCGTTTTGAACACGCTTCTTTCATCTCCGTAGCAAGGAATTTGACTTGTTCTAATTTGAGGGGGCGGGGTTGGAAGAATCTTCGATACCACTTTATATAGGAGTAATAAATACACAACATGCATACGGAGTACGATACCTACCTTTAGTCAAGGCAAGTGTTTGAGATGGCTGAACGAATGAGAGGTCGTATTGATGTATCTTCTGCATGCATCGACAACTCCTGCGTACGACTTTACCTGGATTGGTATTGAACGGCTAGGAGGGATGTCTGCAGCGAAGAACAACATATCTACCTACATATTTCGTGTAAAGTGATATTATGTAGCCGACAGCAGAGCACTGGAGTCGACCAGGTATCATATCGAACTTAAAAGTCCCATAGTGCCATCCGTCCTATTGGGATGACATCTAGAGTTGTCGGGCTTCGCCATGAAAAGCTAACGGCATTTGGTTATCTCTGCGCTCATCGTATGTACATACTCCGTCAGCGACCAGGTCAACTGGATGCTATGCCTGTATGTCCATCCTTCCCGATCGAGGCTGTGGAAGTGAGGTTTGCCTGACTGACTGCATGAGCGCACGGTGGATCAGAGGCAGGGCGCTGATGTCTACGATCTCTACATCCAAAGGGCCAGGTATGGCTTGAGTGTCGGACCCATGCGAGGGATGTTGTCCGTGGATGGACCCAGGGTGTTGCCCGGCGACTGACTGTGCAAGTAGATATTAAACCTATGGGAACGGGATTGAATTTTCGGGCCAAGGCAAACACGAAGCGACGCCATGTTGGATGGATGGATGGATGGATGCAGTGGCCACGAGCAAGTGGAACTGACGAGGGCGAGAAAAGGAAAGTTCCCTAGGATGGACGATTATTCTTGTCCGTCTGCGCCATCATGGGTCCATGGCTAGAGTGGGTTCCCTCCGTGGGATGTTGGTGCAATGATTGATGATGACGGAAAGGTTCTCATCTCGTCTCGAAACCAGATCAGCAGCTCACCGGAGGCAACGCAGGCAGGAAGTGGCGGGAGGACTGGACTGGGGAATGGAGGGTAGAGTGATAAAATTGAATTTCCGCCGTCGCGATGGGCTCCGTCCACGACGACCGATTCGGTAATGTCGATTTCATGGTTCGGATGTCGAGGATGGAGGATTACGACTGGGCGGAGTCGGACGGCAGGCGATGGAGAGGACGGCGCGCTGGACGGGCGCATTGGAAAGGGTGGGTAATTATTGCCTACCTACCTAGAGAAGAGGCAGTTGGAGGGAGTGGATTAATCATTCTTACCTGCCGGCGTATTGCACTGGTACTCTACATACCTACCTGGTAGGTACTCCGTACGTCGTACACTACTGCGCGTTAGTTGAAGCCGGAGGGCACGCACGCACGCACGCACGCACGCTCTGGTACAGAGAGTCACAAGCGCTGCAAGCTCACTGGCTGGTGGTTGCAGTCAGGCGGTGATGGGAATCGTTCGACGAGCAGAATTACAGTACATCGGGGATTACGAAATCTGCCCATGTTTGCAGCGATTGGACTGTCGCCAGTTGGAGTCGTCCATCTCCGAACCCGGACGGACTGATTGGATGGTCGTTTCTTCGCCCCCCCTGGAGTGGATCGGGTGCCTCCATCCATCCAATGGCCGGTCTCAGATGTCCCTAGGTAACCAGTCGGCAGAATAATGAATGAATGGCTGAATGAAGAAAAATTACACCTTGCATCCGCGATAATATCGGTCTTGGTTCTCCCTCGGTGGGTTTGTTGACTTGCCTGTTGCTAAGGATTCCATCACTTAAGACACCGCATTATTATCGTGGATTATTAACCCATCAATATTATTCTGCCAACCATCGTCGCCTGGCCTGCCATTCTCGGCTTAGTCTCAGCCTACCCTGAATACTTTCACTGAATCCCGGAATACCGCACATAGGGGATACATCTCCATACCGGAGGGGCCTTCGATAGACGCCCCAAGTGATGCCTTCCAAGTCATGTTTGTCCCATCCGATTGGAAAATCCATCCTCTCTGATGACAACAATCGGGTCTTCGGAGAAAATCGTATAGTAGGGGTTTGGCCACTACTGTACATGTAGCTCGTGACGATATGTTACCCGTATTAAATGATCCATAAACCCATTCCTTTGGCCTCTGGCGCCAGAATCCCTTGGACGGAGCATAGCTACCTAGGTAGGATTTCTCGGTCGAACTAAAACCTCTCCAAGCATGTATGTAAGATTCCGTAAGTCTTTGGTGTATGATGATTACACCGAAGTGAGAGGCGCCAATGCGCTTCCGTACCCAATTTCCCATTCCTTTTTTTTGCCTTCCGCCTCTGGTTGAACTAGAACTGGCGATCAACCACACACAAGTGCACAAACCCCCTTCGTCCTTTTTTTCCTTCTCCCGTGCCTCCCGGATGCTGCTGAGCAATGGACCCTCCTTTCTTTGCCTTTCCTCCTTATTTTTTTTTTATTTTTATTTTTATTATTTTTTTCCCCTTCCCTTCTTTTCGTAATTAATGTTTTTCCTTTCTTTTTTTTACGATGGTTCCGTAAAAACACCCAGTCCTCCTCCCAACCCAACAAGACCTAAACCCAGTGAGGAAGGCGGCACACCACAACGACGGTTGCAATGCGACACTAAACCCAACTGATTATTGGATCTGAATGGGTCTTGACGGAGTCAGTCGACTGGCCGCTTCCAAGCTAGGCCCAATTACTGGTCCTGGTCTAGCTATGGCGCCTGGCTGACTGACGGACTGATTGACTGACCTTGCTACCCTTCCACTTCTCCGTAGCATGCATCCACTCTGGCGTACCCATTCATTCCCTTCCCTTCCCTTTTTCCCCCCATCCCCTCCGCCCCCCGTGGCTCTGACATCAACCGGTATTTCTCCTTCGCGCGAGACAAAGCAGAGACAATCAATCAATCAAATGGGGGTCCAAACCGGATCCGACCCAAACGAGTCCAGAAAGGAGGATCAACCCTCTGGACCTGCGTCCGGGTCAAACTCTGTCCTTCCTGTATGGTCACTGCGCCTTTCTCTGGACGAAAACTAGCCTACCCTACCCTGGCTCATCATCCAGCGGAGTTGTATGAGGTTTAGTTCTTTGCTGGATGAGGGATGATGTCTTGACCTCATCCTTCATTATTTATTATATTTTTTTTTATTTGAATTATTTTTTTTTTCTGGTTCCGCCTTATTTTCAATTTCCAAAATCAATTGTAATTTTTTTTATTCTTACATGTTTTTGATTCCGTTATAGATGTCTAGTTCTTTTTAGTCTGGGGATTTATTTATGATTATTTGACTTTTCTTTTATCCATTTTTTTTTTGTCCATTTCTTCGGTTCATTTCTTTTTTCGATATACATCCACCTCGTTGACTATAACTGGATGTACTGACGGCGGCTCTACTACTACTCTTTACATCCCCAACTCCCACCACCTTCCCTTTTATATTTACCTTTTGTCACTCCCTAGATGGGCAACATTGCTGCGAAGAATACTATGTAATCTTTGTCTCTGGATCTGACTTTCCTGCAAACTTCTTTCACCCCCTTCAGTGCCTTCATTCCATTCAGCCGGTCTAGGTTAACATTCACCGGGCCCGCCGCTGTTGCTATCCCACCCAGAGACCTCCAGGATATTCGCCTGTTGATATTATTCACTATCGAGTGTCTCGTCTTCCGTGGATCCGGACTCCCTCGATTTGGCGCATTTCCCTTACACCCTCGATCCCGATCCTTGTTCCATATCTCCAACGACTAGCCCGGCACCCGACGAGGTATAGAAGCGAACGGACGGCACCAGTGAACAGAAGACCGGCGAAACCTGATCGACCAATGTCAATGGCTTCCCAATGACAATAGTGCCGAACAGAAACCACTCTGACCGTTTCTTCACACTCACTCACCTCAACTTCAACGACTCTGCCATATGTCTCTTCCGATCCCCTCCGCATCGTCGAATCCTTCTCTCTCCCACCCCTTCACCCCCACCATACCTTTCTGCCCGCGCATGGAAGATTCGACTGGCGACAAACAACGGCATTTTGAAGCCCTCTCCAAGCTCTCCGATACGACGTGGACTGCTCCCTTCCGGGACGGTCTCCCCACCCCTCCAAACGATATGACCGGGGTGGCATACACTACCATCCCACCTTCCAACTATGGAGGAAAGTTGGACGACTTCACACTACCTCCCTACGTGAGGTCTCATAGCAACTCGCGCATGGGCTATGCATCGTCGACGAAATCGCAGACCCAATCTTCAAGTTCAGAGGCCCCGGCATCAGCTCCTCCGAGTCAGAAACAGGACCCCGTCGCTTCATATCTCCAGATGCCTTCGTCCATTAACAACGGCAAAGGGAACCTCGCAGAGTTTGCGGCTCAGGTACATGACCTTTCAATCTATCTTGTGATGGTTCAGTTCGGCTGACGTTACCTCGTAATAGATGACGTGTTTGTTCTGGTTCGAGAACACCGTGAAGTTGAAAGCTATCGAAGAACGCCTGAATCCTCCATTGTTTCTTGTCCCCGAATCCATTCCGTCTGCCAACTTTCAGAAGTGGGTAACGAATATACTCTCGACCACACAAGTCAGCCAGAATGTCGTTCTGCTGGCTCTGCTGTTCATCTACAGACTCAAGGAAACCAATGCCAGCGTGCGTGGAAAAAAAGGCAGCGAGTACAGGCTGATGACTATCGCCCTGATGCTGGGTAACAAATGTAGGTCTACTGCACGGATGGTGAACCTCGGCAAAAGCTGACCTCGATCTAGTCCTTGACGACAATACGTACACCAACAAGACATGGGCTGAGGTATCCGGGATCTCTGTTCAAGAAATCCATGTGATGGAGGTGGAATTTCTCAGCAACGTTCGGTACAATCTGTTCGTTTCTTCGGCGAATTGGGCCAAGTGGCACGCCAAACTCGGAATCTTTGCCGATTTCTTCAACCGAGCATCACGGGTGCCGGAAAAGCACGAACTGGGACTTACACCACCCATGCTTCACGTCTCCAACGCCGAGCCTTCGCCGCGCACGCAGTTATCTCCGTCATCGAAGCTACCGTCCCCTCCCGAATTAGATGCCTTCCGCTCTCAGAACTGGCATCTGCCGACTGGCCCTGTCTATCCTCCCGCGCAGATGGCCGGTGACATGCCCCAAGTTGCATCTCGAAAGAGGGCCCGTGAAGACTACCCTGTCGAACAGCCGGCCAAGAGGGTGGCTATGCCCAACATGGTTCCAAACCCAGTCACTCTTCCGTCATCATCGTCTTCGCTAGCCAGCGTTCCGGCACTGCCTTCGGTCGTTGCACCATCTTCTGCGCCATCACAAGCATCGATTCCCACCGTCTCTCGACTTCCTCTTCCCAACTTTCCTCCTTCAACTCATCCATTGGGCTCGAGCGTTCCGACATCTGTCCCTGCACGTACGATGCCTCCTATGTACAACCCTTCCATGAACTGGATTCCTCCAATGGCGCCGTCCACAGCGATGCCTCCGGTCACGAGCGGCCTGTACAACCCTTCTTTGTCGCTGCCTGACCCTGGAAGACAGCAGGGCAGTCCGTTCGCCTTGTCCTCTGCAAACGTGTCGCCCGCTGTCTCGGCGTACTCGGCCCACACTCCTCAAACCCATCTCTCCCCGTCCTTCTTCCTGGCGAACCGCAACTCTCCATACCGACCCGTTCGGAACGTCAATACTCTCCTCATTCCTCCCCCATCGACTTCGCTCCAGCAACAACGCAGTATCCCGTTCGAGCATATGCACTATCAGCCCCTGGGTAAGACGGCTGCGGAGCGAAAGACCGGCGTCCTACCTTACCTTCATCAGGATGCTTGGCCACAAGCCGTTCTGATTCCGCCTATCCTTCACTCTACACCGAACTACTCGAGCTGATCTGAGGTCAGCCTCGTGATTACATTTTACGATTGATATGATGATGCATACGAAGGGATGGCTTTTGTTTTCGTCGAGCTTTTTTTCCTCTTCTCTTCAACACTGTATATTATGGACATTGCTCCTTGTTATCATTTTGTTTTCTGTTACGAGCTGGCATCATGGCGTTCAACATCATAGACGTGTCACATACATGTGGACTGCATATTATTGGACTTGGGAGGGCACGCTTCAATTTGTCTTGCACCAAGCATGGGTACGGCGTTGTTCCTGTTTGCTGATCTTGTTCGCCCGCTTATGTTGTACCCACGTGCATCTGCATGTTGAGGAGGTCATAAGTGCTGTTTTCAAAGAGAGGCTGGGAACTAGTTGGCCCGAATCATACAATAGATTATAACTTCAGAATTGTGAACAGTAATGCTTGGTCCTTGATAATATGGTAGCATTTGAGATTGGGGGTTCTGCAAGGGAAATTAGGCGTGAGACACTCAATTGCCTCTCAAGGTGCTACTTTGTACACTCAAGTAAATCCATGTCCACAGTGAAATGTTTATGTACCTCGAGTAAGGAGTATTATCTTTCAACTCATCTCTGAATTAAAAACGGGTGTGACAGAGGTAAGGATGTAGTTCACTGCATGTAGTTCCAAGCCAGACTACTCCCGAAAGGAACCCGGCCCGACAATTCTCCGACCACGGCCCGGCCTGAGGCCACCCACCTCCCGAAAAGAACTTTGTCCCTGCGAGCTGCACCGGTATAATCAACCTAACATCCATCAATCCACACACAATGCCTCCCCGGCTCCAGATCCTGCCGCTGCAGTGGCAGCGGACGCTATCCAAGCCGTCCTCCACCTCCACGGCCTCTCCTCTCTCCTTCCTTCTCCCCCAGCTCCAAACACAGACTCGCAACGCCCACATCCTCGCCTCGCTCTCCGACACCCCGGGCGCCTACAACAAGAGAATCAGACGCGGTCGTGGTCCCGCCTCCGGCAAGGGAAAGACCTCTGGCCGCGGTCACAAGGGTCAGAAGCAGCACGGAAAGGTGCCCGCCGGGTTCAACGGTGGCCAGACGCCGGAGATTATCGTCCACGGCGAACGCGGATTCAACAATGTGTATGTTCGTCCCTGAGCCAGCGGACCAGATTGAATGGGCAAGCTAACTGGGTTTCCACGAGGATAGCTTCTCCCTTGACCTCGCCCCCGTCAACCTCGACCGCATCCAGGCGTGGATCGACCAGGGCCGCATCGACCCTGCCCGCCCCATCACCATCCGCGAGCTCGCCCAGTCCCGCTGCATCCACCAGACCAAAGAGGGCGTGAAGCTGCTCGGCCGCGGCATCGACACCTCCTCTTCTTCCACCGACGCCGACGCCGACGCTCCCGCTGCCGCTGACGCTGCAACTCCCGCCGCCGCCTCCGTGCTCAAACAGCCCATCCACATCGTGGTGTCCCGGGCGTCCGCGTCCGCCATCGCCGCCGTCGAGGCCGCCGGCGGCTCCGTCACGACGCGCTTCTACACCAAGTCCGCGATTGCGCGCATCATGCGCGGCGAGACGCACCCGTTCGTGTCGGCCGCGTGGTCCGCCCAGAGCGCCAGCGCCGCCCTCCACGCCGCCGCCGCCGACGGCGTGGCCCCCGAGACCGTCTCCGAGAAGCAGATCATGGCCGATATGGGCTTCCGGTACCGGCTGCCGGACCCCACCAAGCGTCGCGATATCGAGTACTACCGTGACCCGGCCCATCGCGGGTACCTCAGCCATCTACTGAAGCCTATGGAGGGGCCGTCGTTGTTCTTCCGCTCGCCCGTGGAGAGGAAGTCGACGGCTGGTGTGAAGAAGGAGAAGGTTCTGCCCGAGAACCGGTTGTGGTAGTGTGTTTTGTGATTTGTATTCGCAGTGTATTCTTTGATCGATTGGTTGGGTTTGTTCTTGCTGTATACTCTACCTGTACAAATATTGCACTAGATCTACGTCAATAAGATTCATTGGTAAAGTTTTTGGGTTTGGAGAGTCTTAAGTTGGACGACAGTGCAGCTTGAAATGTAACCTAGGTATATAGTTATAGGTACATAGTATAAGAAAAACCGAACGCCGTGCTGAGTAGGGAATCAATTTGTCACCGAGGGCATGCTCAATAACAATCCAACGCGCATAAAATGAAAACACATAGACCAAAACCAAATGAAAAGAGGGTATCATAGATGACCAAGAATCCTAAACACCAGCGCTCGTCTCGTAATAGCGCCAGCCGCGATCATCAATAAACTCATATCCCGGGCCTCATCAAGTAGCAGAACATGAATCATAAAAAAAAAAAAAAAGGACTATAATGGAGCTCGGCTTTTGAGTTTACAGCCTCCACGCATAGTCTGATCCGTCTCCGACGGTGTCGGTAAACTCGCGTAGCCAACGTGAAGATAGAACGTCACGGATAGTCCAGCGTTTGTCAACGTCTAGATCAAGGCATCCCGTAATCAACTCAAGCGCAGCTTCTCTGTCATGTCGGTCTGGCGTATCCGTCTTCTCTCCGAGGACGGCTTGTCTTTTCCAGGTGCCGCTGATAATGCGCGACTGAATGCGTGGTGCGAAAGGGTCTTGGAACGGGCGTGATCCAACGACCATGGTGAATGCAATGACACCAAAGGCCCAGATATCCACGGACGGATCAATCACCCCATTAGTCGAAAGGAGTAGTTCCGGCGAAGCATATTCCAGGCTCCCCGCAACGCTGGTGCTCGAGCCTGCCGGTCCGATGGTTTTGGGGGGTGGCCGGTCCGCAGGCTCATCATATGGTTCAGGCGAATGGCTTCCATTATCGGTGACCATCCACTCGGCCATTCCGAAATCGCACAGCACAAGATTCGACGTCTTGGTACCATCCGGTAAGTCTGTCGGGTCCAAGAGACAGTTTTCCAGCTTGATATCTCTATGCACGACGCGAGCATCTTCATGGAGATAGCGAAGGGCACACGCGAGCTGGTAAGCGTACTTCTTTGCCAGCTTCATGTCCAGCCCTTGACGGTTCTGCCGAACGAGATCAAAAAGAGTGCCGCCGATGGCCAGCTTCGTGAAGCAGAAGGTAGCGTAATCGGTTTCGTAGACGGCATCCAGGGTCAGGAGATGCGGGTGGTTGAGATATCTCCATACTCGAACCTCGTGATCAAACTCTGCCTGAACCTCGTCGTTTTCCTTCTCGCTTTTGCCGGAAACATGCTTCCGCACGATCTTGACCGCTAGTCGCTTGGTCTCTCCGCTTTCATCGACTTTATAGGCTTCTTTCACGGTGCTGAAGCCACCAAACCCGATCTGTTTTCCCAGGACATACTCAGTGCCGACCATCTGGCCCTCATCATCAGGCTGTGGAGCAGGCTCCTCGGCGCCACTCCACATGGACAAAAACGTGCTAGCCGGAGACTTGCCACTAGAGGCGGTGGACCGGCGAGAGCTAAGCCGGGTCGAGCTTCGATGATACCGGGACTTACTTCCGAACGGTGTGACCACACTACTGGGCCAGGAGCCGCGATCGTCCAGCGAAGGGAACGGCTGTATGGGCGAGGCGACACAGATCGGAGAAGCGAGAGCACTCTTGGAATTCTCCGGAGGGGTTCGCAATTCGTCATTGATGGGCGACGCAGTCGAGACTGATGTGAGGGATGTCGGCCGATCAAGCTCCGACGTAGACGGTGCATTACCGTACCCCGGACTGATAGGAATACCCTCTCGCGTGTTCAGAGGCTGTCCGCGGTGGTTTCGGTACTTTTGGGGGCTAGAGCTTGCGCTCGTGGGTACGGATTCTTGCTCGTCGGCATCTTCTTGGGACAGCGCATGCCTCAGATTGGAACTCCTTGTCTGGAATCTTTGGTTTCGAGTTCTGGCATCTCCCCTGGGCAAAGGCTCTTCAAGCGGTTGTTGTGGACCCGAGTCAAGCGTGACATTCGGATCGAAGGTGACGGATGGACGGCGGTGTTGAAGAAAGTCATCGAGGGGGGAAGCAGGAATCTCTTCGGGTTTATGGGGATAGCTAACATCTTCAGAGTGAGGGTAGTCATCCAGTCGTGGTACCGAAATAGGCGGTGTTGAGGCATGCACTCCACTCAATACACTGTTGTCTTCATCAGTACCGCAACAGGGTGCGTCAGAATCGTGAAAGATGTGTGTACGGTCGCCCTCGATACCATCTCGATCAACCCGGTGTCCTCCATCTGGATCATCTCGCCACCGCGGTCTATTGGTGTGATCAAACGACGTCTCAATCTTCAACCCTGCCAAAGCGCTGTTCCTCCCTGTCTGAGCCATGCCCTCCAAGAGAGCAAAGATAAGTTGGGGAGGTGGATATCCAGAGAAGAACGATCAAGGTTTGGTCGATTTGGTGATGGAGTTGAGGGAATACATGGACGGACGGTTGGGAGGAGAAGTGGAGAAGGTAAAGAAAGTGGGAAGAAAAGAGATTGAAGGGATCGAGAGAGGATGATCTAAGTCATCCAGAGTGCTGGGTTAGGCAGATAAACGGCGATCTGCTGGAAAGTGGGTAAAGCGTAGGTAGGTAGGTACTGTAGGTAGAAAGGGAGGAGAAAAAGAGAAGAGGAAATGGTAAGGATGAACGAACATATCGGGAGAAGACGGGGAGGCTGAATGAAGACGAGTGGAATAGCGGGGGTGGTGCTGCAGGATGCAGTCATGCAATGGGCAGCATTACCCAATCAGCCGGCGTGGGCGGAGCACCTTCTCCGGCGCCCGGCGATCACCTGAGATCACATGACCACACCTGACCCTCTCTATCCTGTGCCCTACCCCGCTTCGGGTTAGCGTTTTCCCCTCGAGGGTGTTTGGAACCCTGCCTGATTGGGTTTAGATACCCGTCCCGCCCAGGAACAAGCCTCGTTCGGGAATGGTGCGGATAAGCGCGCGCAAGGGGCGCTTGTTTTGGGAAGTCCCATCGCTGGCGGACCTCCTTTTTTGGATGTCTCAAAAGTCCGGGGAACCTCGTTGGGTCTACTCTACGCTTCCACCAGCAGGCTTGAGGGTTTCATCTTTCTCTTTCTCTCTGCAGGTTAATCTCCGGTTTTGTTTTGGTTTCCCCTTTGATCCGAGTGCTCTGAGAGTATTTCTTTCGTCGTGTTGCCCGAACTTCTTCGATCACTGCCCTTCGTGTCCTGTCACCCCGCCCTGCCGTCGTTCGTGGCCTCCTTTTTTCTTTCTTTTGCAGGAATTGCTTGGTCGCGCTCGGGTGTCGCGATTCTCGGTCATTTCTTGCGGTTTCCCGCCGCCATTCCTTACGATATTCGCCTGGTTGAGGCCCAGTGCCCCCAGGATTTATGAGTCGCTCTCTTTCATACGGACCCTGCACCCGTTGTACTTTTGGCGTCCTTCGCTACAATCAATTTTAGGCCTACAACATGACGAGACCACGAATTGTGCGAGCGGGTACGTTGACCCCGAGGTTCTGCCACAACTTCGCACAGATGTGGTGTTCTAACGTGGATTCCAGACACGCTCGACCTTCAGGACCAACGTGCGCCTTCTGCGAAGGACCATACTAAAAATCCCGGACTACATGGCGGACTCGCTCCCCACCAAGAAGAATCGATCCGACATGCCGATCAAGACACGAGAGCCGAGCTGCTTCACGGACCCGGCGCCAACGGGAACCATCTAGACGCCGATGATTACCGGGACGGAATCGACATGTACGACGACGACGATGACGACGAAGAAAATGGAGATATTGGCCATAATCATCGCGCTGGGGGCTCGGAGGACGGCGATCTTGACGGGGAAAGCGACGACCTCTTGGATGATGATTTGATGGACAAAATCTCAAGTTCCCCGTCAATCGATGATGGTGCGTGTCTCATCCCTGCCAACATGCCGCCCCCTTGACTTCACCCCCCTCATATACGCGTGTATCCTTCGCACCACCCTACCTTTCCCACAACAACAATGCTCATTCCTAGTAGAAGATATCGATTTCGAATTTGTCTACGCGCTTCACAACTTCGTCGCTACCGTCGATGGACAGGCCAATGCTGCGAAGGGGGATACTATGGTTCTTTTGGATGACAGTAACAGTTACTGGTGGCTTGTTCGCATTGTGAAAGACGGCAGTATCGGTGAGTCCACCATCTACGACTGATTAAGGGAGTTTGTACGCTGACAGCCTCTAGGTTACCTACCTGCCGAACATATTGAGACACCAACAGAAAGACTGGCACGGCTGAATAAACACAGGAACGTCGATGTAGGTGCGCCTCCTTGCTTTTGCAAATCTGTCTAATAAAGTTAGCTGTCCGCTACCATGCTCGGTGACAACTCGGAGAAGTCGAAGAACCCGTTGAAGAAAGCCATGCGCCGCAGAAACGCGAAAACGGTTACTTTCACCAGCCCGACCTACATCGAAGCCTCGGATGTCGAGTATTCCGACGAGGAAGACCTCGACGACCAGGCTTCTTTCCATGACGAGGACGCAACGCATGGGGATGTGGATGACGAAGACATGCAGAATGACGACATTGTCGTCGAGCCCCTCAGGCCAAAGTCCAAGGACAAGACAGCTGAGGAAGCAGAGAAAGTGGAGGAGACACGAGAACTCGATCGCTCCAGCCCGGAGAAAAACCGATCGAGCCAAGAGATTTTCGAACCAGAAGGTACAAGCATTCCATCCATCCTTTCCGAGGTATTGTCGTTAACGGAATTCCAGTGGGAACCACCGTCAGCCGGTCGAGGAACGGCACTGTGCGCAACACTGATTCGTTCTTCAAAGACGACACAGTGGAGACCAAGAAGATCTCCCTCACCCCGAATCTGCTCCGTGACGAAGTTGGCAGCAGCGGTCTGTTGAATGACACAAAAGAGGTCGGTTTGCACACCGTCGTCAGAGCTGACGAAGATTTCCTCAATCAAATATCTGACCTCTATAAGCAGGGCCGTGGAAGTTTAGAGAACTTGGACAAGGCACTTGCAAGCGACAAGTCGAAAGACGACAAAAAACGCAAGGACAAGAAACCTGGCATGCTCAGTGGCCTGTTCAAACGAAAGGACAAGAAATCGAAGGCAGCTGACGATGATGGCGAGGAGTCGGAGAAGGTCTCCAACGAACTATCTCGCACTTCACCGACACCGAAAACCTCATCCGAGTCGGTGTCTTCGCCAGAACAATGGACTTCGAAGCCTGGAGTGCAGAGACAAACCAGCAAACTACAGAAGCAGAACCCGTCACCGACGAAACAGGAGTTCTCCGACTCCATCAGCGGACCGGCCGAAGGCGAAAGGGCCATGGATGGTCAAAAAGCAGATCGATCGATCCGGCAGGTGCCTGCCGAGGAAGATACGGTCCAGTCGTCGCTCCCAAGGAGTTACCAGCAAGGCGATGCTATGTCGTCCACAAGCTCGTCGAGCCCAACTAAGCGGCCACACCCTCAAGCTAGGGATACTCTGGCCTCAGTTAGCGAACAAGATGAGGAACGACAAGACCTGTCCGATCGGATGGCATACCTGCAGCACTCTGTGACGTCGCCGCCCCAGAAATTTGCACCACAACATAACCCGAAGTACCAGAGCTCGCCGGTGAGCTCGCCGGTAAACAACTCCCCTATGGACAGCCAACTATCCCCGAGTGTACCCGGGCTGGTTATGGACTCGTCGCCGGTGGGCCAATCTACCTCCCCGGTCTCACCCCCCTTATCTCCTGCCGAACATGACAACAAACCCGGCGAGACATTTACGCGCTTCGGTATGACATCTACGGAGCCGCCCGCCTGGAGTGATGCCAGCTTGCGGTCGTACCTGGATGATGAAAATGATATTCGCGACCTGTTTATCATTGTTCATGACAACTCCAACGTACCTCCTGCTGGTCCGGACCACCCGATCACCGGCAGTCTGTTCAAAGAGGAGAGCAAGAGATTGAAGGAGATGACCAGTCAATTGGATTCGATGCTCGCTGACTGGGTCAACCGAAAAATGCGGACTACGGCTGGTAAATAGACGGTCGACACCTGGGCCGTGGCAGATCTATTCAGTTGATATTCACAATCGCTCGCAACTTGTTGCCCGGAGCTTGCCATGTGCTGGACGCATGATTCGATTCGACTATCGTTCCGGAGAATTTCCTTTACTACCTATATTATACTTTGCTTCCATTCAGTTCTATCTCTTCTTTGTTGGTATGCGTCAGCCAGGAAGCGGGACGACGTCCACGATCCCTGTCCTTGTGTGGTACTCTGGTTGATACTTTGCACTTGGATAATTTTGCCGACAGTTCTAGCCTCTTACAGATGATACATATGGGATACCCCAAAATCCATTTCCTTCAAGTTCATTTCGATGAGTACCGTCGTGTAGACATATCCTAGACTATGTGTTCTCCGAGTCGTAGCCTAAACATTCAAAGTGCAGTCATTTAATTATTCGAGGCCAGTTTATATCAAGATGTTTGAGGTATTAAGAGACTATCCAGGTAGCTATATACTCTTGGCTGATAATCAGATAAACTTCTATATCCGGCCCTTGGGTATACTTCTCAGGTTGAATCGAGAAGGCCAATCTGCATAAGGAACATACAAATAATATTCCATCTCTCTCACCATCCTCCATGATGACCTCAGCATCTGACAGTGTACATTCTTGGCCGAGCAGGGTGTCGTGCGGGCAAGTCAGCTGCATCCCACAAGTCACTCGACAGTCGATCAAGGTACGCGCAGCCCTAACCGGACAAGATATAAATACAGCATCCCCGACTGTACTCCCTAGAAATGCTCACTCCCTGATACCACCATACAAACCACCCTTAAACATACACACCATGAGCGACCCTCACTACCAACACCCCGCATACCCTCCCTACGCACCCCCCTCGCCCGGCGCAACCCCCGGCGCAGCGACCTTCTACGCGCCCCCAGAGAGCCTCTACCAGAACCCCCCGTACGACTACGACCCGCACCAGCCCGCGTACACCCAGCCCCCGCAACTGCCCCCTCCGGCGTCGCCGTACGCCTCGCAGTACGACCTGAGCCAGACGGTGCCCCGGTCTGCGCTGGCGCAACCGCCAACCCCGTCAGCGTCATCCGGACAGATGTATCTCAGCCCGGAGTCAGCAGCCGCCGCGCCTCCCCCGCCGGGGGGGCATGCCGGAAGCAGTGCGGAGTACTAGTAAGAACAACACACACCCGCCGCAGAACTAAGCAAAGATGCTGACGAGAGGGGGAAAAAAGCAACCAATATGACGACTCCCTCCCGCCGCCGAGTAGTCCGCGCCCGTCGCCCGCCGACGCTGAGACAGACCGCTCGACGGCGAATAAGGACGAAGGGGACCGCAGCCTCGGTGGGACGCTTGTTGGCGGTGCGGCCGGGTACTATCTCGGACATAAGCGGAGTCATGGGCTTCTTGGGGCGGTGGGGGGTGCGTTGCTGGGGAATTATCTGGGGGATAAGATGACGGAGGATGGGGGTGGGAGTGCGAGTGGGAGCGATGAGGAGAGACGGCGTCGGCGGCATCGGCATCATCACCACCATCACCATCATCATGGACACCATAGCCATGGGCATGGACATGGACATCGGCATCGGCATCATCGGTCGAGGTCCAGACATAGCAGTCATAGTGGGGTTGGGAGGGACGACTGGGAATGATGATTTTGGACTGGATTACGAGTTATGAAGTGATGACCATGTTGTGTTTTTAGACTGATCTTTCTCGGTATTTGTTATGAACAACAGCAGGACTTCGCTTGAATCCACCTGACGCGACTTGTAGACCCCCTGTTATCTATATGAGTTCTAGAAGTACCTAGGTATTCAGTAAAAAGTACTGTCGTATGTCATTGATAATGCTATATCACTTCTGTATTCAGCTCTAATCACCAGGCCCAAGTGGACATGCCAGACACATAAACGAACGCAATATAATCAAAATCTAAACGCCGATGCCGATAGTCAACGGGATCTATCCCCAATTTCAGCCAACCATCTCAAATCATGACCCGAAAAGAAACGCCAAACAATGAGTGTGTATTCTGAAAATGACCAAGAAGAACACAAAAGAAGAAGTGTACTCATCACATCGTAAGTTACCACGCCGGCGGGTCGGATCAAGCTGCATAAACGCATGTCTAGCACTGTAGGTTGATCAGACGGTCCCATATCTCTCCCGCTCGTCTTCCAGCAACCCCCGATTCTCCCCGGAAATATCGTCATCAGAGAGATCCCGCTCCGGGGACACCGAGGGGATCCAGCCCCTCATCCAGCCACGGACTCGCGTCCAGCGACTTCGTCCGCGTTTGGGATCCTCGATCTCGACCATGGACTCGTCATCCTTGGTCCCGTACATGAGGAACTGGACGCCCATGAAACCATCCAATCCAAGAACGCCAAAGGCCCCCAGAAAAAAAGGAATCGAACGGCCGACCCATTCCACGCGGTCGTTGCCATCCGCATCGGCCCATCCGCCGCCTCCATACGGCGGGAAATCGTACCACGCATTGGGGTTGGTCAACAATGACGAAGAGTAGAAAAAATTCCCACAGAATGCGGCTGTGAAGAGGAGAGGCGAGAGCCCTGAGGTACTCTGGCGGCGGTAGTTCTTGTATAGTTGAGGAGGGCGGGAGCCAAGGTAAAGAGCTGTGGACATCCAGGAGAAAATCCTCCCGAGGATCTCGAGACTTCCTCGCGACGACTCTGTGGGAGAGACTTCTGTCGGTGCAGCATTCGCCATCACTGCACAAAGCATCGACGCCAGCAACACTGTACGAGTGGAAGCGAGCGGCAAACTGGGGCCGCTGCTATTCCGGGTTATTGACCGGCGGGAGGAGCTAAGCTTCTCGGTAGGATATGACGGTGACTGGCCCGCTGGAGGACCCGAAATCGGTTGTTCGATTCCTTTCACGTCCTTGGCATCTGAGAGACGCTCCATTTCAGGGGAAGGGGTGTACTCCATGGACCGGTTATCCGAGAACGAGACGCCCTCCAAAACATCCCCAGACCCGTCATGGTGATGAGGGGAGCGGTATGCGTGAATATGAACACTGCGGTGCTTATAATGGGTATACCAGAAAAACTGAAACACCAGCGTCACATCAACAAGGACGTAATACGTGGCGATGACCACCTGCCAACCCGCTTGTCGAGTAAGGAGTGCACCGAAGAGGTTACTCGCGTCTCCAAGACACCAGATCACGAGGAAGAAGATCGACAGACCCGAGGTGGACTGCAACTGAAAGTTCTTGTATATTTGAGGGAGTTGTGCAAACAGCCACGAGATGATGCTGAGCGTTCTCCAACACGGACGAGACGAAGGCAAGAGGCGTGGGAATACAGATATGGAGATGCGAGGAAAACCGCCGACAAGAACCGTGTGGAGGGGCTCACAGTGGGCGGGAAGAG